AGCAGCCTCATTAAAATCAGTCTTAGTACACAATTCTTTTTCAAACCGGTGTGCAAAAACAACTTGACCCAAAGACTGACTGACTGAGTTTGGTTTTACGCCGCTTTTAGCAATATTCCAGCAACATCACGGCTGGGGACTTGACCCAAGGAAGTAAAATATATTGTATGCCCACAGAAAACGATCAACATGAAAGATAACCTGTAATCAAATACTGGGTGGCTAAACGTGTATCTTGAGACCTTACAAGTAGCACTTACTGGATATTCAGGCGGTGGGGTAGCCTTGTGGTTAAAGCGTTCGCTCGTCACGCCTACACCGGGTTCGATTCCCCACATGGGTACTGGTGGCCCCTGCCTCGCTATTGCTGGAATATTGCTAAAACGGCGTAAAACCATGCTCATTCACTATCCTCTGGATATTCATGGTTTGGAAATGTCTACTGGATATGTTACATGTGATGAAAAAGTAGTTTTCAAAAACACACAGCCAAGGCCTGTGGTGAACACACAAAATGCCCATCTATGTTAGGGCGTATCAAATATATGTTTATTTAGGGCAGCTTTAGGTACAACACACCCTTTATGAACGAAGAAATATATGCATGTTATTAAGTAAATTCTATTATCTGCATATATATGTTTGTTAAATATTTTGAGACTACCAAAACGGTTTGTCTGACTACAAAATCAAGGACAGATGTAATTATTCACAAAATCTGATAAAAAATATTTTACTCATAATCCAATATTTATATCAAAGCCTTTACGTGAAGAAATAACAATTCCGTCTTAGTTATGTAAACACTTGAATATCAATGAGGAATATATGTGTAGAAAAAAAAACAAATACAAGTTTAACGTACAAATAAAACGATCTCATTGACGCTGTCCTGAAAATTCTCCCATATGTAATGATGTTGGACATTACTGGCTACGTTCTTTTCGAAAATATTTTTCAATAAAATCGAATTAGGTTTAAAATAGGAATTATGTTTAAAATAGGTAGAGCAGTTGAGTTTTCGATCAATATGCACGTAGTATTTACATATTACATATGAAGTGTGTAATCGAAATATTATAAGTATCTATTTCCAATGCAGTTCAGACACATGCACTAGGGTATGCTAGATTCACACGTTTTTGGTGTGAAGACGCTGACGTAATGTCCTCCATGGTTTTGTTCTGATAAGGAGAGATGTCGAAGATCTTTAATCAACAGCTAAATTGGAAATCCCATAAACTTAGATTTCCTAACTTCGTCATTCTTGCAGCTGTTTAAAAACAGCGTCTTTCGATTTTTGTGTTTAAACAGTGTTTCATTCCCTGCCTCTCAAACACAAGAATCACGCCAGTGATTCCATTTCAAAGCCTCAGTAGCCACATTTCTCAACTTTTGAGGTACAATCCAGCGTGCTCTTTTTATCAGATTTCAAAGAGCGTCATGCCGCCCTTGCTCAGAAGTTGTCTGATCAAGGTTACAACATTCAAGACCTCAGTAAAGCTTTCAAGAAGTGGAGAAAATTTCCAAATTTGATGCATCAGTGACAAAAATTATGTCCGATGCAATTCTCTATTTTGACTTTTACTATACGTTCCCTAATTATTTCAGGTGAACAATTGACAAGACTTAGCATATGTTTATGACGGGTGCCGCCGGTGGGGCAGGATACGCTCACCTTTTCGCGAACACCTGGTATCATGACTATTTCATAGTGATTCATAAACACATGCTCTGTCATCGTATCGCATGGTGACAATCACTGGATTTGTTTACAAACAATATCGTACAGCTGTAATACTGCTGATGTAAATATGTACTCACGATACAGTCACAGCTGTACAAACGACTCTTATGGATGTGGAAAGGGATTTGTCGCTTCTGTTTACGAAAATGTGTTTTTCAAAACAACCAAGGGAAAAGGCTTATTGATTTTGGGATGGTTATATTTTGTCAACACAGGTAGTACAATAGACACCTAGGTCATCAACCCTTTTCTCGCGAAGATACCGCTATCTCCTTGACAGGAAATCTATTTCTTAGTACATTCGAATGTTTGCGAGATGATCGACCAATGGCCGTGTATCAGAGTTATAACGGACGATGAATAGACGTATATCGGGAAATAGATCCGTGCAAACAAATGTTCGTGAGCTACTGGTGATTCTGGGAATGTTTTTGCAATATATACGATATTATCACAGGCAGAAGGGTGAAACTGGTATGTACGTGAAGGAATGTTTTGGTTTTTAATAGATCGTGTATTTTCACAAATGTAGAAGAATGTTTATGAGAAAATCTCAAGCAGTTGTAAAACTGGTCCAATAATGAAATGTGTATTAGTAATTGTAGTTTTTGGTGGTTACAGTGTGAAAAGAGACCTGTAAGCTAGCGAGTTTGGTTTGGTTGTTGTTTAACGCCGCACTCAACAATATTCCAACTATATAACGCCCGTCTGTAAATAATGGAGTCTGGACCAGATGATCCAGTGATCAACAACATGAGCATAGATCTACGCAGTGGGGAAAGTGTGTGAGTGAGTGGAAAGAATGGAGTGATTTTTAACCTCATAGTCAACACTATTCACGCTACACCCAGGCGGTGAGTGAGTATAGTTTTACGCCGCACTCCGCAATATTCCAGCTTTATGGCGGCGGTCTAAATAATCGAGCCTGGATCAGACAATCCAGTGATCAACACCATGAGCTTCGATCTACGCAATTGGGAACCGATGACATGTGTCAACCAAGTCAGCGAGCCTGACCACCCGATCCCGTTAGTCGCCTCTTACGACAAACACCCAGACGGTTTGTGAATACTGCCACTGAGTCTGGACGCGAGGACTAGTGAAGATCCGGATAAGAATTGATCATCCCTGCTCGTCGTAAGAGACGACTAACGGGATCGGGTGGTCAGGCTCGCTGACTTGGTTGACACATGTCATCGTATCCCAATCGGGTAGGTAGATGCTCATGCTGTTGATAACTGGATTGTTAAAACAGGCATGGCTTGCTGAGCACCGGATCTTCACGAGTCGAAGAAATTATCAAGTGGCATGTTGATGAAATAAAGCGTATTGGGGCACGATAATGAGGGTTGGTTAATCTGTCCAGTATTCGACCATTCATATTATAACGGTTACTTTACGTCAACTGCCTCTTACGACAAGTATGGGTTGATAAAGACTAATCTAACGCGGACTTTCAGGGATCCGATCATTCACAGACCATATAAACATCAAAACATAGTGAAAGCAAGAGTGAATGTTGCTTTAAGCTAACAAACAAACATTTCCCTGAAAAGCTGAGTGTTTTGCAAACTGGAAAAACAAAATAGAATCTAATCGGTATGTCTGGAAGAAAAGACCAAAATATTGTTTTGACAATCCCGAGATCCCCCAGGAGATTGAGTGGTACGAACGCATTAACGATTGCGTTTCATTTTGAAAGTTACCTTGTAACTGCTTGAGCACACAATTATGCATAAGCATAATACACGTGACCACAATATATTCCTGAAATATGATGCAGATGGTAGTAACATATTTCGGCAAACTAAACTTTATTTTACCTTGTCACTGCAAACAATATGATGATGCACCCTCGGATCATATTCCATCGAGACAATGCCTGTCCACATACAGCGCGAAAAGACCGAATGTCGACCATGTTATGAGCATGTGTTTTTGCTTAACGCTGCAATCTTACAACAGCATGACTGCTTGCTGACTTGGTAAATACATGCTATCGTATCCAAATTCCTTAGGTCGATGCTCATGCTGTTAATCACTAGATTGCCTGGTATAGAATCGATTATTTACAGACCATATAGCTGGAATATTGCTGAGTGTGGCGTTAAACAACAAACAAAAAAACAAATATTTGTTTAAATTAAATAGTATGGTCCATATTTCTTCAATGTCGTCAATATGTGAAGCCATTTCTGGTGTCCTCCGCCGAGACATTGCTGGAATAATGCTAAAAGCGGCGTAAAACCCAATTCACTCACTCACTCCATGAAAGAAACCTCATGATATATAATTATAATATCAGATTGCTGTAAGCCTTGTGTACATCGCAAACTTGATATGACCACAGGTAGAACATTGCTGATGTCGCATCCTGATGCAGTATCCAAGTAATTAAGTTCTGTTGTTAGGAATACTACTGCCGTGAGATAGGAAACGTTGTCGTGGGATAGGAAACGCTGGATTTGCTGAAAATAACATTTGCTATGTTGACACTAACACAGACAATGATAACTACCTGAGTTCAGTTTAAAAACACATAGCAAATTCAATACACCACTATCACATAATCAGTTTTCATTTTGAGCCACCATCAAACATTAGTGTACACGGTATTTGCTCAGCAATATATAACGGTAGTCTATAAACCTGGATTGATATACTTCTGCACATCGCTTTTGTTGTGAGACTGTTAGCTGCCATGTAAACAGCCATCAATTTCATCCCCAGGCAAATCATCCGGTCAACGTGCAAGATCAAGTGATGAACGTATCGAATTCGACCCGATCCCGCTTCGACATTATATATATAAGCATTATATTTATCATATACCTATGAATAATAGGACACTTTTGCACATACAATACTGGCTGTCGGCATACGTCCATAATGACCACCCGGACCGAAATGCATATGAACCAAATAAACCCTTGGCTTGGGCCGAAAATCCATATCAGCCGTATTGCCCGGCTACTTAACTGGTGTGGAATGAATGCACGCAAACGCTCGAAACTTCAATAGAAGGAGCCTTGTTCCATAGAAGGAAGGAAAAAATAAGGGATCACATGAAAGCACAAGAGTTCTTATTTTTCCAGGTTCCTTCACAAGCCTTGTATCGCATAGCTTGTGAAGAAACCTGGAAACAAATAAAGGAACACTTGTGCTTTCATGTGATCCCTTATTTTCCCCTCAGTATATATATGAAGCTAGAATGTGGCTAAAAGCTGCGTAAAACTGAACTTCACTCCCTCAGTCGTGGGTTTTCAACAAAGTCGTGAGACCCGCATTACATTAACGTTCGCTTCCCCCAACATCACGCTGATGCAAACCCTGGCAAAAGAGGCGTGACATTGGTGGTGTGACTAATCTACACTGATGCATGACACATTATACTTTTTTTGCTAAATGTAGCATTTACTATATTTATTAAAAAAGAGAAAAATTAAAAATGTACATGAACATCACTGCATGCTTCTAACGAGGCATGTTCGGAAAACAACAGTGTTGTTTCCTCAGTGTCATTGCTGTTAATCCACTGTACCAAACAGGTGGTCATCTTGCTTGGACTCCAGTCACGCGAGGTGTAAGTAATACACCCAGTATACGATGTTGAATATGATGAAAGAAATCGGAAATCCGTATTTTGAAATGTTATCGACTAGAATGCCGGCGTCTTTCGCGTAGTCGGAACTGCGCACTTCCGGTTTTCCATGTCCATTCTTTGCCTCTGTTTGTGATGGTGCTTTGCTTATCTGTGAAAATATACATAATACATGGTTAGTTGGTTAATCTGTGAAAATATACATAATAAATGGTTAGTTGGTTAATTTGTGAAGATATACATAATACATGGTTGGTTGGTTAATCTGTGAAGATATACATAATAAATGGTTAGTTGATTAATTTGTGAAGATATACATAATACATGGTTAGTTGGTTAATCTGTGAAGATATACTATAATACATAGTTAGTTGGTTAATTTGTGAAGATATACATAATACATGGTTGGTTAGTTTATCTGTGAAGATATACATAACAAATGGTAAGTTGGTTAATCTGTGAAGAGTGAAGATATACATAATACATGGTTAGTTATGATAGTGATTAGCTATGTCGCCTAACAAGCAGCAGGCTTGTCACAGCTTCTCGAAAACCATGAAATATTACAAACTTTGAGAAGTCACTGATGGCAGAAAAATGCAGTGGATGAAGCTTACACGTCCTGCTTTCATTCTGTGGAACCGGTTTGGGTTTAATGTGCTTATTTTCACCTTAATCTTGATAAAGAACATGGATAATGACAAACATTTTGAAAACTTTGACACTCACATGGTCACCTTGCAAACCAACCTGGGTCAGCCAAGACAATACAGCCAAGCCTACACCAATCAAGAACTGATTGCTCTGGACACCAAACAACAATGCATCAATCAACAACTATTGTGTCGCCTGAGAAAGCTAGGTATCAGCAACTCAAAACAGACTGTGAGAGGCAAGCGAGCTGGTCGGAGAAAACAAAAACAAAGGCCTATTCAACCAATAATAAATGCTTGTGGAACTACAAGTAATATTACAGAAAAAGACAATATCAGAAACTTAACAAATTCGACTCTAGTTCACCCCCCGGAACCCAAACAAAATATCAAGATTGCTCTGTGGAATGCACGATCTGTGCGAAATAAAACCAATGAAATTTGTGATTATATCATTGACCATGATTTTGACATAGTTTTCATCACAGAAACCTGGCTTAAGGAATCTGGTGATGAAGCCAAACTCTTTGAGTTATTCCCCTCCCCCCTGCACACGGTAAAACACTTTCCTGCGGTGACCGACCGGGAGGAGGCCTTGCTGTCATCTACAAAAAGATTCTTAACATTAACTTCTGTAAGAAAAGCAAGTATGACTCCATGGAAATGCTAGAATGTGTTGTCGCATGCCAAACATCACCAGTGAGGTTTGTGTGCATTTACAGACCCCCACCATCACGCAGGAATGGCATTACTGACTCACAATTCCTCACTGACTTCACATCACTTTGTGAACATGTTATTATTAAGAAAACGCCTTTTGTCGTTTTAGGTGAGTTTAACATTCATTTTGAGGATAGTACAAAAAACCTCAAATTGAAAATGGACAAGCTTCTGGACGCACTTGACCTTGTTCAACACATCAATAAGCCCACGCACACTCATGGTCACGTGATTGACTGGATTATCACAAGAATGAACCAAGACGTTATCGAAGATGCAAGTGTTCTAGACATGCAAATGTCCGATCATTTCTGGATACATGCATACTTACACATTGGCAGAATAGAACCAAGTCGCAGAAATATTGCCTGCAGCAATATCAAGTCTATATCCAGAGAGGAGTTTAAGCGGGATATACTCTCATCACGACTGTATACAGACCCTCCATCTGATGTTGACGAACTCGTTGATCTGTACAACAAAACTCTCTCTGACATCCTAGATAAACATGCTCCTCTTAAGTCCAGAAAAGTACGCGACAGAACGCAGTCTCGCTGGTACTCAGAAGAGATACACACAGCTAAAATTGAACGTCGACGAGTTGAACGCCAATGGCGAAAGACGAAGCTTGAGATTCACAGACAGCTTTTTAACAAAGCGAGGAATGATTTCAACAGAATACTTCAGCGTGTAAGATCACAGTTTTTCAATGATCTTATTCTTTCCGAAGCCAGTAACCCACGGGCCTTGTTCAGCACGATGTCGACATTGATGGGTAAATCAACTGACGTCATCCTTCCGGAACATGGTACTGGTGATGTCGATCTCGCCAATACGTTTGCTCAGTTCTTTCACGATAAGATAGCAAACATCCGTGGATCTCTTCGAACCACATCTGTTGATACACAGTCTAATCCTGCATGCAGCTCAACTATCAACAATTTCAATCGATTTAGTGAAGATGACACATTCAAACTTATCCAAAGTTCAAAACCAACGTCATGTTCCCTAGACCCAGTACCCACCAAACTACTCCTAGAAGGTATTGATTGTCTGCTGCCAGTCATCACGAGGATCATCAATTTTAGTCTTGAAACTGGTATTGTGCCTAAAACATTCAAAACTGCCATTGTCAAGAACACATATCTCGATCCTCAAACGTTGAAAAACTACCGGCCGGTCTCCAACCTGCCCTTTCTTTCCAAAATCTTAGAAAAGGCTGTCAACACTAGGGTCCTGGACTATCTCAATGCACACAGCCAGTTCGACAAGTTCCAGTCGGCTTATAGAGCAGCACACAGTACTGAAACTGCCTTGAAGCGAGTCGTCAACGATCTACGGGTCACCGTGGATAATGGTGACTTGGCTGGTACTTCTCGACCTGTCCTCGGCATTCGACACCATTGACCATGACACCTTAACCACACGCCTACAACGTGACTGTGGTTTTGACGGAGTGGCCCTGAAATGGTTTCGCTCCTACCTCACCGATCGTTTCCAATACGTTTCAATCAATGGTTCCAACTCAGACTCAAAAGGACTGAACTGTGGTGTTCCCCAAGGTTCTGTACTTGGCCCCATTTTGTTTATCATGTACACAAGACCAATCTGTAATGTCACCTCATCTTCCAATGTCCACTATCACCTCTATGCGGACGACACCCAGTTGTCAGACAAGTGTGGTGTGGACGCTACATCTCAGGAACATTGCATCAGAAACATGGAAACCTGCATACATTTTGTGCAATCCTGGATGTCAAGCAACAAGCTGATGCTGAACGCAGACAAAACAGAGGCTATGGTGATCGGCCCTCCAGTTCGCCTTTGGAAGTTTGGAAATAGCCACATAACAGTTGACGGATCTGACATTCCCTTCTCATCCTGTCTGGAAAATCTGGGAGTTTATTTCGACACCTCACTCTCCATGGAACAACAAGTGACAGCCATAGTCAGGAAATGCTACGTCTACATGAGAAACATCGGCAGCATCCGCAACCTTCTCAGTGATTCATCGGCAGCAGCACTAATGAGATCTTTCGTCCTCTCCAGGCTCGACTACTGCAATAGTCTTCTTGCTGGAGCATCTTCAGAGCAGATACATCGCCTACAGAGGATCCGGAACACAGCTGCCAGGATTGTAACCAGATCACCAAAGCACTGCCACATCAAACCGGTTCTTAAGTCCCTGCACTGGCTCCCAGTCCAGAAGAGAATCCAGTTCAAAGTCCTGACACATACCTACCAATGTGTCAATGGAACAGCGCCAAGTTATCTTTTTGAATTGATCAGCGAGTACCATCCAGCCAGAATACTCAGATCATGTTCGCGACACAATCTTGTCATTCCACGGATAAAATTGAAAACCTTAAAGTTTGGATATCGGTCATTCTCCAACGTATCGGCACACCTCTGGAACGCTCTTCCAATAGAATTAAAAACTTCACCTTTAGTGACCCAATTCAAACGTCAGCTCAAGACATTCTTATTCAACTAGCACTTTGTGTACCACCTGTGCTACTCTGACAAGCGCTCCGAGCATGCATGTGTATGGAATTAAGCCCTATACAAGCAACCTTATTATTATTAGTAGTATTAGTTGGTTAATCTGTGAAGATATACATAATACAAGGTTGGTTAGTTTATCTGTGGAGATATACATGATACATGGTTGGGTTGGCTAATCTGTGAAGATATACATGATACATGGTTGGTTGATTAATCTGTGAAGATATACATGATACATGGTTGGTTGGTTAATCTGTGAAGATATACATGATACATGGTTGGTTGATTAATCTGTGAAGATATACACAACCCGAGCTTAGTTGGCTAATCTGTGAAGAAATACATAACCCGTACTTAGTTGGCTGATCTGTGAAGATTTACATAACCCGTCCTCATTTGGCTAATCTGTGAAGATATACATAACCCGTACTTATTTGGCTAATCTGTGAAGGTATACATAACCCGTACTTAGTTGGCTAATCTGTGAAGATATACATAACCCGTACTTAGTTGGCTAATCTGTGAAGAAATATATAACCCGTGCTTAGTTGGCTAATCTGTGAACATATACATAACCCGTACTTAGTTGGCTAATCTGTGAAGAAATATATAACCCGTACTTAGTTGGCTAATCTGTGAAGATATACATAACCCGTACTTAGTTGGCTAATCTGTGAAGATATACATAACCCGTACTTATTTGGCTAATCTGTGAAGATATACATAACCCGTAATTATTTGGCTAATCTGTGAAGGTATACATAACCCGTACTTATTTGGCTAATCTGTGAAGATATACATAACCCGTACTTAGTTGGCTAATCTGTGAAGATATACATAACCCGTGCTTAGTTGGCTAATCTGTGAAGAAATATATAACCCGTGCTTAGTTGGCTAATCTGTGAAGATATACATAACCCGTGCTTAGTTGGCTAATCTGTGAAGAAATATATAACCCGTGCTTAGTTGGCTAATCTGTGAATATATACATACCCCGTACGTAGTTAGCTAATCTGTGAAGATATACATAACCCGTACTTAGTTGGCTAATCTGTGAAGAGATACATAACCCGTGCTTAGTTGGCTAATCTGTGAAGATATACATAACCCGTGCTTAGTTGGCTAATCTGTGAAGAAATACATAACCCGTGCTTAGTTGGCTAATCTGTGAAGATATACATAACCCGTACTTAGTTGGCTAATCTGTGAAGATATACATAACCCGTACTTAGTTGGCTAATCTGTGAAGATATACATAACCCGTGCTTAGTTGGCTAATCCCTGAACATATACATAACCCGTACTTATTTGGCTAATCTGTGAAGATATACATAACCTATGGAAAGTTTGTTAATCTGTGAAGATATTACATAATACATGGTCAGTTTGTTAATCTGTGAAGACATACATAATACATGTTAAGTTTGTTAATCTGTGTAGAAATACATGATACATAGTAAGTTTGTTAATCTGTGAAGATATAAATGATACATGTTAAGTTTGTTAATCTGTGAAGATATACATAATACATGGTAAGTTTGTTAATCTGTGAAGATATACATAATACATGGTAAGTTTGTTAATCTGTGAAGATATACATAATACATGGTTAGTTGGTTAATTTGTGAAGATATACATAATACATGGTAAGTTTGTTAATCTGTGAAGATATACATAATACATGGTAAGTTTGTTAATCTGTGAAGATATACATGATACATGGTAAGTTTGTTAATCTGTGAAGATATATATGATGCATGGTAAGTTTGTTAATCTGTGAAGATAATAATAATAATAGTGCATATTTATAATGAACATATATCCACACTCGTAAGCATGCTCTTGGCGCTAACACATTATAGTCACGTGACTTATGTCGCCGGGTACCCATTTTATGCTGGGTGAACAGAGGCAACTTTGAACAAACAAACAAACTTGCCAAAGGTAAGAGAATATGTATCAAATGTGCATCGTTGTGAAGATCTGTGAAGATATACATAACCTATATTCTGTCAAGAGATAAGTGACTGTGGAGATCTGTAATGACCTAAATAATTGAGATTCAAGGACAATGCCAGCTGTATTTGTAATCCTGTATCTCGGCCAGCTTTATTTCAAAATATGCAAAGGCTCTGTGGCTCACCTCCTACCACTGTAGTTTATGGAGGAGAAGTTAACAGCATTTATGGGACCAGAAACTATACAACACATTATTTAGTTTGGTGAAAACGACATCGATGAACCTGGGAACATTAACTGGAGCTTTCATCTGCTTCAAGGAATTAGATTTGGCTAGAGAAGAATTGTTTCACCCTTCAAGTATTATCATCTGACAGTTAGTTTGATAAGGATACTGAAAATGACTGAGTGTATTAATAGCAATTGTTGGGCTTCTTGCAAGTTTTAAGGGTCGCTTTAAGCTTTATAAGCAGCGTTCGAAATAAGCGCCGGCCCGGAGAACCAGCGCCGGTTGTTATCCAGGCCTACCATACAAACGGTGAACAAATCATCAAAACTGATCTCATATACACCAAAACAGAACAAAAACCACCAAAACTGCAACAATATCCTCTAAAACCGAAACAATACATCTGTAATGGAAGACTAATCGTTTGAAATGGAAACAAAACTCGCGTATCAGCTACAAGAGCGCACGAGAACGGTCACCGAGCGTACAAAACGGCATTCATAGCATCCCAACACGGCAGTCATAGCATCCCGAAACGGCATACAAATCGTCAAAGATGGCGGCGAGGGGAGACGAATAGGCTTTGGTACATAATTGTTTTTCGTCACTATGAGTCTAAACTTGAAAATTTGATATCGGGATGTAGTGCATAAACCCCCTATTGTAGTAAGCTTCAAACCTATGTCCATACTTCTCAGTGTCAGGCTTGCAATTCTACACAATGTGGTCCCTCGTTCGACCGAATAGGATTTCTTGTCAACATGCCGTGGTCCTGTTTCTCTTCAGTTTTGTAAATAAAGTGTTCATAGCGTCACATTCAACATTACTATATTTTAGTGATTTAAAAAGTTTACAAAAACTTTGTTCATTCTCCGTGAATTGCATATCTAAGTGATCATTTCTACTTTGACTTCCCAAACTGCCTTTTTTTAATTTCTCAAACTTGTATTCACAGATTCCTGAGAGAGACGTGTCAGTCCTCTCGTCATCTGACATATTCTTCTTAGTTTGTATGTTTGTATGCCACCGCTTCACACTGCACGTATGGTCATGTTCTCAGACGAAGATCTTCTAGTTTCATCTTACTTTTATGAAGTCATTCAGTGAATATATTTCTTTCAGATATCTCTGTGATACCGAACCTTTCCGAAAATTCCAACGTTTGAGTGTATGCCATATAAAGGAAGTTCAAAAATCGGGTAACATTGCGTTCTCATCAGAGAAGGAAACATGAACTTGCTTATAATTTCAACTGTGAATTGTGTGTCAGGAAGATTTTATCATTCTGCAATTTTATCTTTTCCATGTACTTCAAAGTATTCCATGCAATCCCAAACATTTTACATCATTTAACAAAAAAATAAAGCTTAACTTGAGGTACAAACATGCGTCCGTCTTTGTTATTGTAAGTCTCAAGAAGTCGCCTCCTGTGGACTTGAAACAGAAATCCCTGCCCTAATCAGTGGATTGAGTTTGCACTCGTACACTTTAAAAATGATCACTTATATATGCAATTCACGGAAAATTAACAAAGTTTTTGTAAACTTTTAAATCACTAAAATATAGTAATGTTGAATGTGACGCTATGAACACTTTATTTACAAAACTGAAGAGAAACAGGACCACGGCATGTTGACAAGAAATCCTATTCGGTCGAACGAGGGACCACATTGTGTAGAATTGCAAGCCTGACACTGAGAAGTATGGACATAGGTTTGAAGCTTACTACAATAGGGGGTTTATGCACTACATCCCGATATCAAATTTTCAAGATTAGACTCATAGTGACGAAAACAATTATGTACCAAAGCCTATTCGTCTCCCCTCGCCGCCATCTTTGACGATTTGTATGCCGTTTCGGGATGCTATGACTGCCGTGTTGGGATGCTATGAATGCCGTTTTGTACGCTCGGCAACCGTTCTCGCGCGCTCTTGTAGCTGATACGCGAGTTTTGTTTCCATTTCAAACGATTAGTCTTCCATTACAGATGTATTGTTTCGGTTTTAGAGGATATTGTTGCAGTTTTGGTGATTTTTGTTCTGTTTTGGTGTATATGAGTTCAGTTTTGATGATTTGTTCACCGTTTGTATGGTAGGCCTGTCTGGTATTTCAGCACTTTACACATAGGAATGTTAACACCAGTCTTTAACAATAAAAACGTCTCTCTGCGCCATAGGCTTCGCTAATTCATTTTGTAGAAACTGTGTACAGTGTAATCTATTTTGTTTTGGGCCTGCAGATATCATTCAGGGCCTGTAGATTTTATAGCCTGCAGGCGGCAGAAGGCCCTGATGGCCAACTGGCCGCAAACACTGTTTATAAGCTACAAATATTTAGTTTCTTTTGGGAGCTGATATATTATAGAAGTAGAGTGCCGTGTTGATAATATTTACCTTATATATAGAATCATCCTTCTTCAGCACCTTCTTGTGACGCCGGGTCAGCACCGTGACGACAGCATACTCCGTGTAGGCGGCAAACACAAACGCCAGACACGCCAACATCCACACGTCGATGGCCTTCACGTTGGGGACCCTGGGAAGTTGTGCACGCGCACCTGAGCTCTGGGTGGTGATTGTCAGCACTGTAAGGAGCCCCACGGAGATTCTGGCGGGAACTGCCTCGTGGTCTATCCAGAACGAGGCCCAGGACAGGACGACGATGAGGACGCTTGGGATGTAGGTCTGTGTGGCGTAGAAGCCGATCTCTCGTTTTATACTGACGTCAGCCCTGAGACATGTGTACGCTCCTACGGGATAAGGACATCCGGGTTATTTATATATCATTTGAAAGGCGTAGAGATGTGTTTCACGCCGTTTTGAGCAGTGAGTGAGTGGCTTTGCGCCGCTTTTTGCAGTATTCCAGCAATATCGTGGTGGGGACACCAGAAAATGGTCTTCATACATTGTACCCATGTGGGGAAGCGAACCCGTGTGTTCGGTGTGAAGAGTGAATGCTTTAACTGTAGTTTTTATAACAATACCTTAGCTTTAGTTGTTTCGTATTTGAAAAAGTACGAAACTAATATAATCACTCTTACTCTGTTTGTATTTAGTTAACATTATTATGATAATTATGATTACGTTTTAATATTATTTACCTCGCTACAACTCTGTTAAGATGTATGGTATTAACTTCATTTGAATGAAAATTTGTATTTTAAATGCATTTTTGTATTTTATTGTGAGCATAAAATAACGTAGGTTTCTTTCCTGTCCCACCGCTCCATGCTTTGAAAAGTGTTTTAGTCATATAATGGCGTGTCAGCATGAAGCGGTGGAAGAGAATGAAGGGATGACGATTATGATTCTGGTTAAACCCGCGCGCACAAGTGTAGTACTGACTACCCCGGAAGCAGGATCAGGCAAAACCGCGATTTGAACCCGCGGTGTCAGTGATTAGCAGGCTTAGGGTTCGCCAATCATCGAATCAGTAAATTTATCAGACGTTAACATTGCTGAACATATCAGATATGGATGCGGCTCCATCATGGTATGGGGTGGACTCGTCTGGGACGGTAAAACCTATCTGCATGTTCTTGCAAATGGCACCATGACCGGGACTCGCTACAGAGATAAGATCCTGGATCCCCTGGAGTTACCAGGCATGGCATCATCCTTATGGATTAGAATTGGTCTTCAGCAAACCATGCTTGTCGTATGCCTTACAGGCAGCATCGGAAGGCGGTGTCAAACTGTAGTGTTATTAACAGTCAACCTATCACGAGCATTGCTCTATGCACAATGCATGCTCGAAGCACCCAAACAAGCTCAGTCACTGCAGAGGCCCAGATTAGCTGCGTATCCCGGTAAAATACGCATATAAAATTTCCAATTACGCATTGAAAAATAATTCGTGCGTACCAATTACGCATTTTAAATGTTAGATACGCAAAAGGTTTAAAACAAATGCGTACGGAATATATTTATAAAAATCGCTTGCGTAATGAAAAAGACAACGATTGCTATCAAGTTGTACTGTTAGTATAGGACAAGTGTTGTACTGTCAGTATAGGATGAGTGATTTTTTATGAAATCATTTCCATTATATTTAAGTTGGTTTTGATTAGGTATGACATAAGGCAGAACATACCTGCTTAGTAAACTTACTCAATGACATAATACTTAGGTGAGTAAAATGACTGAAATACGCACATATTTGAAAGCAGTGGGTAACGGAAAATGAAATACCCACTCAACATTCATAATACCCACTCCAAAAATACAGTGGGTACAGTACCCACATGAGCTAAATCTTATCTGGAGCTCTGCAAGCTGATTATTATTACCCCGGATAACCCAAGCTGCCTGTTAGGCGCTAGAGGGTTATAGTGACACCGGGTACCCTTTTTCTGCGGGTGAACAGAGGAAATTTTGAACAAACTCACTTGCCTAAGGTGAGACCACATGTATCACATGTGCTTCGTTGTGGGACAGGACTGAAGTCAAAGAAACTCTCAGGAGTCAAGCTACCAAAAGAGATCACCCATCCTAAACTCTCCGCGTCCCACGTTGCTTGACTTCACCTGATTTTTGCGTGCAAGGGGTTCACACACACGCTACTGAGCCCATAGTTGTGACTTCGACTCCTGTTGTGCCACCACCAGTATGTTCAGATTAAGTACTGAACGGCCACCATAGGTGTTACGTAAGGACGCTTTCTCACCGGTCGAATCCACTGTTATCAGATGAAACGCATTTCGAACAGGCTAATGTGATACTTGTAAAACGTCATGTTTCTTAAATATTCTTCCAAACTCCATTCTCCTAAGCAAATGTTGAACATTATGTAACTAGCTCGGAGACTTTTCCTTCTTACCCGTGATATTCCACGTCAAGCGACGTGACCCTCTCGTGGCCATTAATGTAACCTTTGCGTAATGATTGACGTATATTTCCCCCATATAAAATGAATATTGCAGATGTTTTTTATAACACATTGGACTTAAATTGAGAATTTGTATAAAGAATAATTGGATACAATTATCTGTATCTTAGGCATATGTTCTCTAAGACACCAATATAAACCAAATTACTTCTTGCAGGTTATGGAAAGTGGGGAATGTTAACAAAAAGGTCTGAACCAAAAGATTATTGGCAAGCGTGTATGGAAAATGATTTTTAAATAAAAATTAAATATTTAGAAAATTAATACATCACGTCATATATTTTCCAATTCCACACCTTCTTACCGGTAACGTATTTGTTCTGGCATGTCCCCACAGTGATGTCGGTGATCTGGAAGTCAGGAATCTGTACCCCCGGGCGACTTTCGACGGCACGCCGCTCCGTCGTAAACTCGTAGTAGAGATCGGAGGACGTGTAGCTGTCTGTAACGAGTGAGTGAGTGGGTGGGGTTTAAGTCCATGTTCAGCAATTTTTGAGAAATTAATGAATTTATTTTTACACCGCTTTTAGCTATACTTCAGCAATATTTCGACGGGGACATCGGGAATGGGCTTCACACATTGTACCCACGTGGGGAATCGAACACGGGTCTTCGGCGTGACGAACGAACTACTACAGTACTGCTGTATCTACATACATGTACACCATCTTTAAGTAAGTTCATAGAAATCAGATATTGAACGCCGACATAATTCTGACTGAACGACACACCCCAGGAGGTCGTGTCAGGCGTACTTCTTAATCAATCCCCCTCAACATCTCTAAATGCTAGGGGAGACTGGGTTAAGCATACCAACAAAATATCTGATTCCTGTATCTAGAAGATGGTTGGTTGGTTGTTGTTTAACGCCGCATTCACAATATTCCCCAGCTATATGGCGTCGGTGTGTAAATAATCTACTCTGGACCACAATCCAGTGATCAACAGCATGAACATCGATCTACGCAACTGGGATACGATGACATTCGTCAACCAAGTCAGCGAGCCTGACCACCCGATCCCGGTAGTCGCTTCTTACAACAAGCATGGGTTACTGAAGGCCAATTCTAACCAGGTTCTTCACGGGTGTATCTTGAAGACGAAAGTAATCGGGATGTATGGAATCCTAGAAGGGACATTGTCGCGTCGTCGTCCTCACAAAAACAAGCAAAAAGGGGCAAAATTAACCTAAGCGCGACAATGCCACAAATGGCTGAAATATCGGGTTGTTGCATTGCCGCACTTTTGTTGATTTTGCCTCTTTCTGCTTGTTTTTGAAAGGGCGACAATGAGACAATGTCACTTCTGGGATCCCATAGGGATGTTCCCAGAACAAAAGGAACGAAGGTTGTTGAGGCTATCCTATACATCCTGCTATGTTCTCTTTAACAGTATATTATAGTATATACGGCACTTATTATAAATGTTACTCACAACTTTCCATGTCGATATTACAGGTTTGCTTGTCCATGGGGAAGTTGATGAGGTTCATGGTACACTCCAGCGTCATCGACAACCTGAAACCAGACACCAGGTGTTCTAGCTTTGCCCTGTCTTAGATTGTTATAATAATTTGTACCCATATTTAAAGTGAGCTGTGTTGTAAAACAACCATTTGTCCTTAAACCGGACACAGGAAACATTTCTAAAACAACGGTGAAGGCTCGGGCCATAAACACAAGCCTCTCTTCCCTTCATCTGGTTCTTCAGTAAAGTATCAAAACATAACTTCGTAAATTTTAAATCTAGAATCGGTGTCAGTTTGACTGTGGGTCAAAGGGACTGATCATTTCAATTCTTGAAATCAGAATGCTTGGAATTCGTTTGCTAAAAATATTTTTTGAAATATATGTTGACCAGATATGGTGGATGCTATGACAAAACCGGACGAGAAAAAACAACACCGGTTTCTTTACAGAGAGAAAATTAAAATATATGTTCTAAAACGCTGACTACAAAAATAAGGTTCCGTTTGTAACAACAGTCTCCTGTTACCATGGGTGAATATTAGATGATTAATGGTAGGTAGTTTAACAAAAACACATTCAATCCATATTTCAGGATGACTAACAGTATCTTTGAAATGAATTGTCTGATAAAATGTTAAATGACATTCGGCTCCTAAAAGATAATTTTAGGTGTGCAGTAGACTAACAACTAGTCTCTGAAATGAACATATTTTACTGAAAAAGTTCATAGTAAAATGAAAAGGAGCCCTGAGACTTTCTTCATTTTCTGAAGCTGAGGAAATCTAGACTTGCCACATTTTCTAGACTTGTGTGGGCTTTCTTGAATATATTTTCTTCAGGGTCTGTACGACAGACTATGTGTGCAGTGAAAGGAGAAGGTAAGATCATTGCCCTTTTCGACCCACAGTAATTTATGAAATGAGGATTTGTGTTGTAAGTCATAAGGAAAAAATCAGATGTGTTCATATGATTGATCACTAGAATTTGTCCAATTGAACTATTGCATGTTTTGTAATCAAATTGGAAACCAAATGTACATGCAAGGCTTTGGTGTATCGAAAAGGATGATTTGAGGGTACCGGTTTGAGGGTACCGATTTGAGACGGTATTCAGATATCACACATACAATATTTGGGCGTTTCCCATCAAAACTGATTTCATGGCCATGTTGATAAAAAAGTGATTTGAAAATGTCATCTTGGATCACAAACTTCCTCCATGAATTTCAACACATCTCTCGAATCCACTCACCTCAGCAATATTTGAGTATTTAAAAATGTCAAAACTTGTGAACACAAGAAGGAAGGACGTCATTTGACCATGATAATTTCCATACCAATATATGAAAGTTTTCCGAACCTTCAAATTTGGCATTTCCATTTGGCCAAAATGAACCCATCTCAACCATTTGTGCTGTAGGTAACATGAGGTCCGAAGTCCTAAATGAATCCTAAATACAACTGTATTGGCCTGTACTCACAGTTTGATTAAATCATGATTTATTGTACTGTGAAGCATTTCGAGTCAGGGGTCATCTCAAAAATGTCTTTGGGTGGATTACAGATTTTTTTCATTTATTTACTGTGAAGCATTTCAAGTCGGGGGTTATTTAAAAAAAGAATTTTTTCATCTTTAATCCTCACAAAGACACGAGGGCCTGTGGCTACACTGACCTTTGCGAGTACAGAATTGTTCCGTCCGGGGACAGGCGAATCAAGATATTCGGGATAGTGATTTCATGTCTGCTTTCTCGCTTAGAATTGGGGAAGTACAGGTCAGGCACCCACAGCGAGTTCAGGCGCTTCTCGCTGATGACAATACTTGAATTGAAATCGTCGTATGTTAAGCGAGGATCTCGCCACTCCTGACGGAGGAGAAAACTGGTGCTGAATTCCTATAACAAAAACGAAATGCAATTTCGAGAAACTAAATTCAATGTAAAAATATGTATGAAATGTAAGAAATTTATATGACATTACACTCTTTGTTCGTAAGTAATAAACCATTCCGGATTGCAGTTCTAGAAATGATTTCAGTGTGACAGCTTTTGGAGTACAAACAAACGTGCTGTTTTTACAATGATTTCAAGAGCGCCCTATGACTCTTGCTCAAACGTTTGATCAAGGTTACACCAAAGATTTCAATATGCTTTCATTTTTAGGCGTTAGTGGTCAACGTGATGTCTGCTGCAATTCTCTATTCAGACCAAATGTTCCTGTATTGTGTTCATGGGAACAATTGACTAGCCTTTGAATGTGTTTGAGACCGGTGCTGCTGGTCAGGAAAGATACCGTCAATTTCTCGTGAACTAGGGGTGAAACGGTATACCGCGGTATTAGTAGAACCGCGGTATTTTGCCTTCGGTTCGGTATACCGTAATCCAGTGAAAAAAGCGGTATTTTCGGTTTTCGTATAGTTATTTTATTAACCTTTTTATGATTTTTTTTCATAATGTCTAGAAATCGAAATTCTTTGCTTGACGGCCGCTATTTTCCCGGAAGTAAGTTCTCATATACCGAACCGAAACGGACCAATACGTACCGTACCGTGGTAAGAGCGTACCGTTTCACCCCTATCATGAACACTTGGTCTTATTGTATGACTGATTCATAAATATATGCCTCTGATTTAGTCGGAATCGTTCAACTTTAGATCATACTTCTTATGATTATGGAATTTTTATTCGTAGTGTTTTTTCATTTCCTGTTTCGTTCATATTCAATTACTGACTTTATGAATCTGGATAACACTTCTCACACTGAGGGATGTAAATGCCATGTTTTTCATATTCACCATTTCTATGTCATTCACAGGTCCCAGGGAGATCAAGGTCATATCCACAAGCACCTGGGTTGCTTTACCTTGAAAGAAAAATGCACGGAATGGTCATGTCGTCGACTGACACAAACACATTATCAACACTGCACAGCATCTTACCGACGCGGGGTGGTGGGGTAGCCTAGTGGTTAAAGCGCTCGCTCGTCGCGCCGAAGACCCGGGTTCGATTCCTCGCATGTCTGGTGTCCCCGCCGTGATATTGCTGGAATATTGCTAAAAGCGGCGTAAAACCATTTACTCGATCACTCACTCACTTCCCGACGCAAGTGAGTTAACTGAATACTGAAATCCAGTTTCTCCTAAACTGGTCACGTTCCCGGCTCCCTTTGCGTATATTGCGATATGCAGGGCCCAGCGTAGTTTCTACCCAGCTCTTCTAGACTAGAATTACGTGGCTTCATTGCTGCCCTCCCAGTGAATATTCCAAGCAATGGCCTATCTATGCTCTAACTATTGGCCAATCAGATTCCACCTATACCTTTCTTGTATTTCCTTCAAACAAAATAGCTGCGCCCGGTCAAGACGATCTGACCGATAATCAAGATCTATTCAGTGACATTACATGTTTTACCTTGCCAAGTGCATCACCTTAATGAGCATTTTGATTAAACACATGAAACGATTTGGAAAATATCTATGGACGCCCAGTTGCAGGTTCACATGCTTTGCAAATCTTGCTATATCGACCACAATCTGTATGGCAGTATGGAAACCGTATGTCGAATTCATTACGTAATTTTCACTGGACATGCAGACCAGCCTGGTTCCCGGGGTCTGCTGCGCTAACGCTCCGACACTATCCCCGGTAACCATTACCACAACGCCCATCGTTACATTTAGCGCACGAAAACGTTATTTTAGCAGTTTCGAGACATGAAAATCGTCGTTACATGGGCGATATGTAAACAATGACACACACCCCATTTTCATCACCGACATGTGCGTTGATATTTCGTGTCAGCTCGGTATTGTCACAAAATCGTACACCTAAAACATGGATCTAAACGACCACGTTGATTGAATATAATTAGCATCTTCCATCGTTACAGGGTAGGTTTAGCGGATATATATTTTTCGATCGCGTTGTGAAATTACTTGGTAAAGCGTTTAGATCCAAGTGAATGATGTTAATGACAGGGTTTGTCATTCTGATACATAGCCTCTGTATTTTTATGAATATGAAAAGTTTTCTAACTATTCATTTATTATCATTTTTTCCAATGCAATATGAGGACGTATACTTTGCCATAGTTTTCGATGAAAATGCTATGAAAAAGTTCTAACCACCCGTTCTCGGATTTGTCTATAGTAAATGTATGGCGCGTCGCCCGAAATTCCAGAAAGTTCGGCAAGTTTAGATTTTATGTTAGTGAGCAATTCATCTGTCTCAAATGAAATCAAACGGATTGTAACTGGCAAGGTACAAGGTATCAGCTGGCCAAGGTAAGTGTAGGCGAAGACATCAATATAGGTTTAAGGTCACGGATGTTAACAAATTTTACATTAGTCCTCACACAAACAGCAGAAACCTTTTAACAAGCGTTATAGATTGCAACCCATTTCCTGGGTACATACCAAGCACGAATGGCTATTGATATGGTTGCATCGAACTTACGTAGCCAGTGTTTTCCTGTCGTATGCCGATTAAATGGAGGCTTATAGCTTACAGAAGTACCCGCAGAAATGGTTCGATGTAAGGTAGGCTAAGTCAACAAACGACAAACACTGGATAAGATTTATCAATATATATATGGAGTTAATGGTATAAACTGTAACTTGCCGAGAAGAGCGCTCATGTGCCTAAGGACATGTTTTCAGGAAAGTAATAGCTGCATGCAATAAGTGGCACCAGTTAAATTTGTTTTGAATGTAAATGAATGCTAAAATTGTTGCACTTATAAATTCTGCCCGGAAATGGTCTCATGTTCTACTTGGACGTTTAAACTGGAAAGAACAAATCATTAAAGAACCGTACACTGGAAATTCTGAGTGAGTGGGTATGGTTTTACGCTGCTTTCAGCAGTATTCCAGCAATAACACGACGGGGGACACCAGAAATGGACTTCACACATTGTACCCATGTGGGGATTCGAACCCGGGTCTTCGGCGTGACACTTCACCCACCAGGTAACCCCCCTGGACAGAATATGTGGCACCAGTTCAATTTTGGTTTGAATGTAAATGAATACTAATATTGTTGTATTTATAACTTTGGCACTGTCACATGTTCTACTTTGTCGCTTAAAATTAGAAAGACTGACTGACTGAGTTTGGTTTTACGCCGCTTTTAGCAATATTCCAGCAACATCACGGCGGGGGACACCAGAAATGGGCTTCACACATTTAACCCATGTGGGGTTTCGAACCCGGGTCTTCGGCGCGACGAGCCAACGCTTTAACCATTAGGCTACCTCACCGCCCCTTAGAAAGAACAAATCAGAAAAAAAACGTACACTGTAAATTTTGAAATGTAATGTAATAAGTAAATTGTATGTGTGGGGTGGGGAGAGGGAGGGGAAGGTCACCATGGTAAATTTAATTCAAATTAAATGTATTCGAGAAATGTCCCAATATGAAATATGCTCATGTTCAAAACTACATTCATTTCAGAAACATCAATTTTTATCCCAAATCAATGGCCGAATCTCTCAAAAATGGCGAACCTTTTCAAATCCAAAAGAACATGACTTAGCAAAATATATTAGAATTGTTTCCAAAAGGCTCCAAATAAAATCTAATTTGTAACATCTAGATTTTTCAATTAGTTATAATATATCTTTTGTATGTATTATAAACGTAGATGTACATCCCTGCTATCTTGGCATTTATTATATTCATTTGCATTTAATTGTCTCATGTACCACCGTTGGTTTTTTTGAGAATAGAGATGAAAGATGACATGAGATGCAATGGAGGCCTTATTTCTTCAGTTGGCTGCGCACGGTTATTTCCCTTAGCCGTGTCGGGATACTATGATCATAGACCATATGCTCGATTATACCTAGATCCTATGATCCTTGATTTGTCAGCATCATATTCTCGTGTGGGATTTTTAAACAGTACGGCTTCAGCAAAATTTGCTGAAAATACTGATAGAACTGAATTTAATGTTAACGGAACGCTCTCGTTGTATTAAAGACCATATGTTAGGCCATATATGAAAATATTCTAGTTTCTCATTACCGCCCAACGCAACTAAGATTTTTAATATTTTTTTTACAATGAAGAAAATGCAACATTGACTGTCAAAATGTGTATGAGCTTTTCATAATTCCAAGTTTTGATTTTCTATCAGAGAAAAGGTTCCATTTCCACAGAAATCAAGGGGTTTGGGACATAAAATAAAATAAAATGTAAAAATAAAATCCACCCGGCCAATCCATATTTTTCTTAAAAAGTGATGAGAAACAAGAATATATTTTTTATGTGGCCTTACTGCTTATTTATCCACTACTATCCAAATTTTAAACTTGCCACTTTACAATATTAGGTCATTTACAATTATATTTATTCAAACTGACGATAACATTTTATCTTACCTTCGGCTGCCTCGGGTCTAATCGTAGCATCATACTTTTCCGGGTTGAGCAGACGATTCAAAACTGCCCGCTCCGTAGACGGATCAGTACCTTTGGATCCCGGGAGATTAAACCCGAGACTCACGAAAAACACGTGCAGAACACAAAATCGCATTGCAGTCTTGTGCGCGAGTGTTAGAGTCCGTGCAGCACGTGCACTCCAGAGCAGGTTTACAGCTGCACCTGCGGTCGTCTGGTCCCTTCAATATCAAGAACAAAATGACGCAAGCCGGATCGCCACCGTTTCATGAAACAATTTATTCAGGCGATCGATGTTGCTATGGATTCTTTATATATTCCAGTCAACAACTGTACAGTCAACACATCTCCGTCATTTGTATATCTTGTGAACACAAATGATCCCGAAACATCCCTGATTCTTCGATATACTCATGATTCTATGAAAAAGCATTATGGTCATATGTTGCCAATGCATTTTCGTTCAAAGGACATGCTTGAGAAATATACATGTGAAACAACAAAAATAATTCTCTTCTCATTTCTAGTATCGAAAACCTATCTTTAATGTATACTAGTAAAAGATGTCAATCGTCCAACTTGGAGTTTTATGCCAGATGTTCTCACGGAGAGCGCCATCTGGTGGATCAATTTTTCCTTATGGCCCCGACCAGTTTTCGTTTCAAAATAGTAACGATTTAAGATTTGCATGAGAATAAAATTGTTCCTGTGGAATAGGGATTGTTATTCAGAAATATTTCTTTAAATCAACGCATCGAATATCTCTACTAAGTGCAATTAAAGGTAAGATGTCATCATCTTTCACCATCGCGCTCCTCTTAACATAACGCCAGGAGTGGATTTCTTTACAACTCCAAACAAAGGGTACTGTTTCCTTTCTGAGATCAGAGTCGGTGGGTTAGTCTAGTACTAGTGTTTAAAGCGTTCGCTCGTCACACCGAAGGCCCGGGTTTGATTCACCACATGGGAACAATATGTGAAGCCCATTTCTGGTGTCCGCCATTGCTGGAATACTGCTAAAAGCGGCGTAAAACCATACTCACTCATTCTGCATCATCTAAAACGTTCAGGAAGCTCGGATCGTGTACATACATCTTTAACAACTGACTAAAATGTAAATTAATTACATATCGTGTTTGTGGAAACACAGGAACCTTTTTACAACGGAAATGTATGCTATTGTCTCTTCTATGTGCGATGCGCGATAAGAAAATACGCTTTGTGATGGTACCTACACGCTGCCCTTAGGGTCACGTTTAACGGTGCTTGGCGTGTTTCGTTACTACGCTACTATTTGCGTAAGTTGATCAGATTTCGCAATTAAGAATTAATTGTCGCTTGTACAAATGCCCAATCTGGGATGTGTCTATGGTACAAATAATAATCTGTGAATAGTTCGGTAAAGATAATAATGTTTCATCTCTGGAGAATATATACAATCCTGTGATGTGTTTGAGACCAATGTGTGATGTGTTTGAAGGTGCAGACTGAGACCAATTTGTGATGTGTTTGAAGGTGCAGATAAAGAGCTGTGATATGTCTGAGACCAATGTGTGATGTGTTTGAAGGTGCAGACTAAGACCAATGTGTGATGTGTTTGAAGGTGCAGATAAAGAGCTGTGATCTGGAAATTGTGTGACTGAGACCAATGTGTGATAATCTGTGTCTGAAGGTGCAGATAAAGAGCTGTGCTGTGTTTGAGACCAATTCTGTTATGTGTTTGAAGGTATAGATTGAGAGCTGCGATGTGTCTGAGACCAATGTGTGATGTGTTTGATGGTATAGATAAAGAGCTGTGATTTGTCTGAGACCAATGTGTGATGTGTTTGGATGTGCAGATATAGAGCTGCGGTGTGTCTGAGACCAATGTGTGATGTGTCTGAAGGTATAGATAAAGAGCTGCGATGTGCCTGAGACCATTGTGCGATGTGTCTAAAGGTATAGATTGAGAGCTGCGATGTGTCTGAAACAAATGTGTGATGTGTTTAAAGGTATATATTGAGAGCTGTGATGTGTCTGAGACCAATGTGTGATGTGTCTGAAGATATAGATAAAGAGCTGCGATGTGTCTGAGACCAATCTGTCATGTGTCTGAAGGTATAGATAAAGAGCTGTGCTGTGTTTGAGATCAGTCTGTGATGTGTCTGAAGATAGAGATAAAGAGCTGTGATGTGTCTGAGACTAAAGTGTGATGTGTCTGAAGGTATAGATTGAGAGCTGTGCTGTGTTTGAGACCAATGTGTGATGTGTTTGAAGGTGCAGATAAAGAGCTGTTGTGTGTCTGAGACCAATGTATGATGTGTTTGAAGGTGAAGATAAAGAGCTGTGATGTGTCTGAGACCAATGTGTGATGTGTCTGAAGGTGCAGATAAAGAGCTGTTGTGTGTCTGAGACCAATGTGTGATGTGTCTGAAGGTATAGATAAAGAGCTGCGATGAAGGTATGATAAAAAGAGCTGCTGATAATGTGTATGAGACCAATGTGATGTGTCTGAGGTATAGATGAAGAGCGGTTGTGTCTGAGACCAATGTGTGATGTGTATGTGATGTGTCTGAAGGTGCAGATAAAGAGCTGTGATGTGTCTAAGACCAATGTGTGATGTGTCTGAAGGCATAGATAAAGAGCTGTGCTGTGTTTGAGACCAATATGTGATGTGTCTGAAGGAATAGATAAAGGTATGTGATATTTTTAAAAGTGCAGAGAGCAATCAGTAATATGCCTAAAGGTAAATAGAACAACCTGTGGTGGGTCTAGATCAGTTTGTGATGAGTTTGAAATTAAAATCATTGAAATATCTGAAACTTATCTGTGTACTGCCTGATTTCATATTAGGAAAATCATGCTTGATATTTCCCGTATGCACAAGCAGCCAACATATGATGTGTCACGTGATGCAAGCAACCTACATATGATGGAGTCACGCGATGCAGGCGACCAGCACTTTATGTGTCACGTGTAGCAAGCACACTACATTTGATGTGTCACGTGATGCAAGCAACTTAAATGATACTGACAAGTTTTTTATTTCTTCACCTCTAAATATGTTTATGAGACGAAAAATATCATTGACATGATTTATGTATATCTTCTATTCATATATCTATTACCGCATATATGTTTTTAGTGTCTCATAGGCCAGTTTGTGGCTCGATGCACGGTTTTTACTGTTATATAAGTATTGTCTGTAAAATGTATTTGTGCGTGTGACACTTTAATAAACAATTTACGACATATACATAAAAAAACATGCTGTTAACACAATATGAAACGCTAACAACATCATGCTGAAACGGAATGACATATTTTTACACATTTATCCCCATATCATATAACGAGGCTGAGGGTCACAAGTCTAAACTGTAATCATCATCATCATCATCATCATCATCATCATCATCATCATCATCATCCTCTGTGCACAGAGCACTCACTTCAAAACACTATAAATTAATACACACTTACCTATGCTGTCCTTGCGAATGGATGTCAAACACCTTCTAGATATACGATGCAAGGGTTCTGGATTTACACCATCGATTTCCTCAGGCACCCAATATGTTATATAGTGTATAGTGGGCTGGTCTATTTGTACAGGTTCAGGAAAAGGGGTTGATGAAATTAGATGATATTGCCCGCAAATATTAGACATAGATAATCAACAGTAAACGTAGAGCTAGGTCTTCTATTAGGAACAACTAACATATTCAGGAACTGACATGTTCATGTTTATTGTGGACATTGCTGTATCATTGTTGACGTTATTGTGGACATTATTGTGTTCTCGTGGACATTATTGTGTTCTCGTGGACATCATTGTGTTCTCGTGGACATTATTGTGTTCTCGTGGACATCATTGTGTTCTCGTGGACATTATTGTGTTCTCGTGGACATTATTCTCTCATTAGTGTAGCTGCGTGGACATAACTGTTCTGCAGACGCATTTAGTTGGGCCAACATGATTACATGACACGTTTTATGGATAACAACTTCTTGTTATTCATTATCATGATGTTTCGGAGCCATTTCCAGATCCTTTATCAGGGGAATTCATTAGGGTTGCATTTGCAAACCTCTATAATGTCACTTCTCTTTTTCCTTTGTGTAATTCCCATTTCTGGGGACTATTATGTTAGATGTAGCTATATAAACTCAAAGCCCCATTCATAACAAAACAAATCAAGGACATCGAGCTCTCTCTAGAACACTACCATCGTTAAAAGATTAAACATTATCAAACAACAATGATGCGATGTCATCGATATCCTGCAAAAGAAAAATACCTCATTAGTCTGGCTGCTTTAATTATTGATCAATTCTTTTATGAAACAGATAGAGAAAACTGGACTGAGCACACAACCTTGACGCACATCATATATTATAATGAATGGGCCTGATTTGCAATTTCCATCACGCATACACGCTTGAACTGTACTATAGATACTGCTTAGTACATTATACATTTAACCACACACATCCTTTGAATAGAATACATGAAACAGTTTTTGTCTGTCTACAAAATTAAAAGCTTCCTGAAAATCTATAAGTGTGTCAACGGTGTCTCCATAGGTATTTCTGACATACTGCCTGTAAAACGAAGATATTATCAACCGTTGAATGACTACTACTAAAACGTGATTACTCCTTGCCAGTATTCTCATCAATAAATTCTTGAAATGATCATTCCAAGAATCAACAGTGATAATTGAGTTACCGCTTTTAGTATTAAGCAAAGGTCTCCGTTTACTCAGTCACGTTTCATTATCTATATCCCGTGTAGCCTCCTTTAAAGAATTCAACACCCTCTGTTTACACAGACCGTGTTAGTCATAACACAATTTGCGAAAATGCTTTTTTGTCCTTAAATATTCACAATCTTGTATTCCGATTGGTATCTCTTTTGCTCGGCTAACACACAGCCATTATCGAACATGAAGATTGCTTCCAACCAAACTTTGACATAAACACTTCACATAAACACATGAGATCCAGCATAATAGCTTATCATTACAAATCAAAGCAC